TTTGCGCCCGGGCGGTCGCGGGGCCCCCCCCGGCCCCCAGCCAGCACGTCGACGGCCACTTGGCGCTGGACTTGCGGGGCAGCAAGCGCAAGTCGTCCTCGCCCTCTGCCCCCGAGGAGCCGGCCCGGAGGCCACAGAAGAAGCGCCACCTGCCAGCGCCCGTTCAGTCGTACGAACACGGGTACCCAGTCTCCAGTGGGTTCCCCCTGCCCCCTGTCTCTCTAAACCATACCCTGACCCACCCCTTTGCCCCCCAGGCAGGAAACTCCTTGTACATGGGCACTGGCTCCTCCTACTACCAGCTGCCCAACCTACTACCAGACCCTCAGCTGGTGTTCCCTGTGACTACTGACCCTCTGCTGACAGCCGGCACCGCCAGCTGTACCCAGTCTCCAGTGGGTTCCCCCTGCCCCCTGTCTCTCTAAACCATACCCTGACCCACCCCTTTGCCCCCCAGGCAGGAAACTCCTTGTACATGGGCACTGGCTCCTCCTACTACCAGCTGCCCAACCTACTACCAGACCCTCAGCTGGTGTTCCCTGTGACTACTGACCCTCTGCTGACAGCCGGCACCGCCAGCTCCTCTGCTGCTACCTCAGCCACCGCCAGCGTCCCCTCCTTCATGCTGAACCCCTCCATGGCGGGGGTGCTCCCCGGCTACTCGCTTCCCTTCACGCAGTCGCTCCTGCCTGAGCCCAGGATGTTTGCTCCTTTCCCGGCCCCGGGTTTGCCTGGCAGCCTTCCCCGGAGCATGGCCTCTGCCTACTCGGGCTACCTGTCCCCTCACTCGGGCTACCCGGCCGGGGGCCTCCTGCGGTCCCAGGTGCCTCAGTTTGACTCCCAGGAGGCCTCCGAGGCAGGATGCAGTTCTGATGAGGACAAAGATGACGATGTGATCGAGATCACGGGGAAGTAACGGGCCAGGTCCTGGGAGCGCTGCCAGGAGGCAACAGGGGCAGGACCTTTCCGGAGTCAGGCTTTCGCCTCTGGGCCGGGGCAGCGGAGCTGGGGAAGAGGCGAGGTTAGGTGTCGAGGGTCAGCGC